GGAAAACAAAAAGTAGATGCAGTGTCTTTTAGTGGCACACTGATAAAAAGCCGGGAAATGCAGAGCACAGGAGCTAAACATTAGAGAAGAAATTATAGTAGTGCATTCAATCAGAAGGAGTTGTGTATTTGGAGTTAAAATATCTTTTTGCTTACATAACTCTAATAGATTTGGTTCTACCTTTGCTTCATTAGGAAAGATTTAATTATATCCTGTATGTAGACACAAACTTAGAGAAAATCACAGCTTATAGATGTAAAATCTTCTCAGGAAACACAGTGGTTAGACTGAGTCTGTTCAAAAGGCAGTGCCACGTGTTAAAATTGAGATCAGGGTTTTGATATGCATCAGTTATGCCTTATAGACTGTAATCTTAAATTGTCTTTATTTTATCATTCTCTCTTCTCCAAGTAAGGAATGGGAAAGCATTCTGTAGTCTTAAAGATTAATTTTTAACATGTTTTGGTAGTGAGAAGAAGATTAGCAGTCACTAACAGCAGCCAATTTCAGGGGGAAAAAGTTCTGATTAATTGACTTGAGTGACTATAAAGAATAATTAATCTTTTTTTGTGGGTATTAATAGAGCACTTAGCACCCACTCCTGCATGTGCAGTGTCCTCTCATTTTATTGAATTTCACGTTTTCTGCTTATCCAATGGATTTTGGTATGTTTGTGTTGGTTCAAGTTCTGTATTTTGTTGATGTAAAGAACTTGGGTATGAGAAATCACTTTAAATCATCTGCATGATTGCATCAGACATCAATGTGCCGTAGCCCGGGGCTCATATGTAATCTGTCAGGATAATTCATCCAGACTGCATTCGAAGGCGCCTGCAGAAGAGATGAATGGTTCTCCTGACAGCAGCAGTCTGCTTTCCTCTACTGGCTTCTTAAGAGGCGCCCATGTTTCTAACACATGCTTTGGTGAAGAGCTGAGCTTATTCATGTTTGCTGTGAACATGCTCCTCGGGACACATGAAATTCTATGCACATCTGCAGACCTTCCAGCAAATGTCAGGTGTAACGTGTATGTTTCTGCAAAGAGCTTGATCTATTCTGCAAGTGTAGGGTAGGTCTGTTGTGTGACAGTGGTCTGAAAGAAAGCAAGAGACTTGTGTCGGCTGTGTACTGACAACAGAAGTTGTCAGCCCATTCAGGCATAATTGATTTAGGAATTGATGTCTGTCTCTTCTGTGTGTTCTCAGATATTCCACTCTCATGCACATAGATTAACAGAAGCAAAAGATTCTGTGGCACTTTAGCTAATGACTTCCAAATGAATGAAGTAGCTAATGCTCCCATATATGTGGCTGTAGTGCAAAGAACTGTACTTCCTTTTTTTCTTGGAGAAATTGCTGAGTATTGCAGATTGTTCCCCTGATAAAGGATGTATATATGTGTCTCTGGAGTTGATCAGTGGTATTTATACAACTTTGGCAGAAATGACGAAGTATCACTTACATAGAGAAGCTCAAGAACTATCCTTTTATAATACCAATAAAATAAAATGAGGTTTCATTGTTCTGCAAGTTTCACTGGAAGTGCGATTTTTAGAAATTTCCAAATAGCTCCTGAAATGATGCTGCTGCCCATGGCAGACTGCGTATTGCATGCTGGACATGCAATGGTAATCTTTAAATTCTTCAGGCAGGAAGTGCCTGGCACTTGTGCTATCCCTAACCTAAGTGAAACACACAACAAAATGAGATCTAACATGTCCAGTCAGAGTGAGCTACTTTTAAAAATTGGCTTCATAGTAAGATGATGCTGTAGATGCAGCTCAGCACTTTTTTTCCTTTCCATTCCTTTCTAGTATGATTTGAGAGCAGGTTCTTTAATATGGGTAGATTAGAAGAGTATTTTTCCTCACGTTTTCAAGAAAGCCTGCAACAAAAGGGAGATTTGAGATTTGCACTTCCATTAGATTGTGTGAGACACATTAGAAAGTTTTTCTAGCTAGCCACTAGAAACAAGGCTGATTGTTCCAACCTACAAGGGGAAATTTGACATTTGTTAGCGATGTGTCTTTAAAAGAAAAGTCTCAGTGTCTTTTTAAAACTTACGATCTTTTATTTGCATTTGATCACCTAAATGTGTAAGAGTGTTTTTGGAGTTCTTTTGCTTTTCTCATCAGAGGTGTGCCCTGATCATCATACAAACACAGTGCTGGTATTGTTTCATGCTCAAGACAGCTGAACAGCAAACTAGTGAAGTGGATGGTTTAAATGAATATTAGGGATGATCTTTTCTACTTTCAAGTGGAGAAATTTACAGTTTAAGTCCAGTTTGGGTCAAAGGAGAGACCCAAGCTCTCCTTTGTCTTTGACTTCCAGCAGTATAGGCTTAAGGTGCAAAAGTGTGGGCAAGAATCAAAGGTACATAAGCATGTCCATTATTGGTATTCCTGCTTGTAAGAAATAGCATTTGTGTGGTTACTGCATTGCAATAATGGGCCCATTGAAATGAGAAATAATTAACTACAAAGTATTGTAGATCGTGCAAGCGTTTTTATTTTCCTTAAAATGCACTCAGAACGATGTATCTGCCCATACAGGTGAAAGTACTATGATTTCATGTTCAAAAGGCCACTGTGTTAGTGTATCTGCGTAATATTTTCAATCTGTAAATGATTAAACAGTTGCTTACCTCTCCCACAGGATAGGAAAAGCACAGAACTGCTTAACTGGCTCATTGTTTTTATTTAGGGCATAACCTAAAACCAACTGCTATTTATGTTGAAAATTAATTTTATATGTCTGCAGTATAAAGAGTTTTGAAATACTAGCCACAAATATCAGCAGGAATAAAGACCTAGTTTATATTTGTTGTTTTCATTATAGTAAGTCCCATGTATTTTGTAATGTATGTATTTGCTTGCGAATAGCCAGTTTACTAGCAAAGGAATCAGTAATTTTCTTGACTGTTACGCATATGACTAATAAGGAATCGGGCAATTAAATGTTTACTAGTGAACCAAGGCCATACAGGTTTTGAATAATAAAGCTTTCACTTGCTCTTAGGTTTATAACATGCCTTGAAAAGAAACCAGGATTAAAACGATACACAAAACATACAGTTTAAGTTACCTCTTTGCAACATTGGACAATTGTGTCTTGTGTATTAGAACAACAGTAGTTTAGGAAAGTAGTTTATCAGCTGTCACCGAAATGGAAATAATATGTCATGGGGTGGAACAAAGTGTTTTAAAGCAAATTGCTAAAATTGGTTGAAAAAAACCATGGCTAAACAGCAGCTTTACAAATAGAACTTTTTACTGAAGCAGCTGTTCCAGTTACCTTTTCCAAAGAAGATGCATCATTTTGATTCAAGACTGCTAGCAAGAAAAAAAGCTGCAGTTTGTATCTGTTTGTGATTCTGTATATACCAGCAGCACTTTAGCTTTTAGAACATGCAGCTATCTTTCAATGTGCTCAGATTATAAAGAGAATAGGTTTTGTTACTAGAAATTAGGTGCCTTTGCAAACAGATTAATCAGACCTAGTTAAGTACCACAGTGTATTTTTCCCACATCACTTCAGTGCATTGGACTTACTTTTCCATTCAGTCTTGCATGAAACACATTTAAGAATTTTGAACTTTAGTTAGAATTCTTAAATATGTGTACATTTTTTGTCCCTAAAGCTTAGCTTACCTTTTCATGTTTAGTAGAGGAACTACACATATTAATATGTAATATGAAACACTTTCAGACTGACACTTTTAGCTGTCAAAACAAACATCTGTCAAGACAAATGATGTTGATCATTGTGAATTTCTAGAGTGTGAAATCTTGACGTAATGTTAAATCTGTTGTAATCACTTGGCGGGAACTGTATACAAAGGCATGAATTTTGAAGGGTAAAATGGACCTACAGATAATAAATGTATTTGGAGTGGTGTTGAAGACATTTTTGGCAGCATATCTAATCTGATTTTTGTCTTTGCTATTTTTGCTGACATTACTTTGTTCAAGATCCTGAAAGGTCCTGATTGCTTTATAACGTGTACAGATCTCTTTCAAAAGATCTCTGGACCTTCTAGTGTCAAATCTTGAAAATGATAGTGCTGTTCCTGGCCTACTCATTTCATGGGACTAAATTCGATAAATAGGCTTTTTTTTGGATGTTACTTAAAGTTAACAGTCTTATTTCCAAAACAACACACAAATTCTTAGACTTCTTGTACTACATACTGGGGGAAATTCATGTCTAGCTGTTGAGTAAATAGATTTATCAGTTTGCTCTTTATAATTTGATTTTGAGAATACGCAATTTGTGCTATTTTTTCTACTTGTTAAACAGTCTTCTTTAGTATTGTTACTGCTGTTTAAAATCAATACTCAGATATTAGGTAGAGGGCTCCAGGTTGGAGTTATAATTTAGTTTGTTGTACAAATCCAGAAAAATTGAGCATGTTCTCTGAAGAGCTGTAAGAATTAATTACAGCATTAGAATTGTGTTACAGTAGAAAACAATGCACTTGCAGTTTGATGATGGTCAGACCTGGCAGTTATTTTCAGTAGAGTATTTTCTGTGCATTGTCTTTCCACTTCTGTTCTTTTTCGTCGTGTTGTGAATACAGTAACAACAGTAAAACTGATGTGCTCTTGTTTTATTGTCAGGTTTCTCCCTCGTTTTCAGAACCTGTTTTCTTCTGTACGTAGGTGTTGAGGGAACATGAAATAGCAGGGACACTTTCTGTACTGTCTGTGCAATTTTTTAAGTCATTATGGATGAATTTTTATCTCGTTGAGGAAGTTGGAGCAGCTCTCTCGTCACCTATGATGAGAAGCTAAACGTTAGGCAATGTTAGTTGAATGGTATTTTCTCACAATTGCCATTTCATCTGCATGCAACTTACTTGGAGTTTTCTTGCAACATGATTAGTATGGTTAAAACCCCAACAAATCTTATGCCACTGCTAAAAACCAGGATGACTAAATCACCAGTGAAGCTTTGAAGATGAATGCACATAGCTGATTTATTTTTGTTCTTTTGTAGGTGATGGATGTGGACACACTGTTCTGGGCCCTGAAAGTGGAACTCTTGCTTCAATAAACTACCCACAGACCTCTCCCAATAGCACAGTTTGTGAATGGGAAATTCGTGTAAAGTCTGGGCAGCGAGTTCAGCTCAAATTTGGCGATTTTGATATTGATGACTCAGATTCTTGTCATTCGAGTTATTTAAGAGTTCACAATGGGATTGGTCCCACCAGGACAGAGATAGGTAGGAGCTTTTATTATTGGTATTTGAAAGCTATTGTCTTATATAGAACTTGGATATATTGTTGGTACTTCTGTTACTTTTTAAATTTCTCCTTGTTTACCTGCTCTGAGCATAGAGTAACTACTAGGTGTATGGTATTAGTTAAGTTCTTTTTTTACAGCCCTAGAAAACTGTTATAATTCAGTTGGATATTGGGCAGGGTGGATTTTGAGTCTTATGAGAAATGATGAAAAGAGGGAGGTGTTTATAGGCATCTCAAATAAGGTAAAGAAAGGAATTTTAGTAATTGTGTAATTGGAGTTGTGTTTTTCCTGAGCTTCATACCAAGGAAGCCCTGCAAAACTTTGAGGAGTGCTGTGTGTACCTCACCACAGTAGAAAAACAGCCATCAGGGACCTGACTATTACAACTGATGGTACTGCTAGAAAGCTCAGCTAAGGAAAGATTCTCCTGTATGCTATACAGGTCTTCAGTGCAGGGAGGGAGTACAGGTGTAACTGTAACTATATAAAAAATAAAAGTGGTAAAGAAAACAGCACTCTGATTGCCTCTTTCTTTGTTGACGTGCTCATTTCAGGTATGCTTACCAATGTTGCTCAGCAGATGAACTCTCTGTTTGGAATGCCAGTGTATTCTTAATGTAATTATTCTTAAATAATTGCATTTTGTTTACTGTTACTGAAGCGTATGTAAATGTCTGTCATATTGACACAATTCCTATATCCTAAGACTGTACTGAAGAAATGATGAGTAATGATAGCAGAACCTCCTACATTTTGTTTGTGTATACAATAACTAGATGGTAAATGCAACACAGATCCTATAATAATCTTTGTTCTTCCGATTCTCAAAGGAAACTCTGTTGTAATGGTTTTTTTTTCTTAGACATTTCCCAGTAGCTTGCAGAGTTCTTGTAGCAGTGGAGAGAGTATTGCAAAACTATGAGGATCTTCGTTTAAAAAAAAAAAAAAAAGTAAAAAAGTGTGTGTAAATATATATATATCTTACCTGAAATGCCTTTCTTTTTGTATGGAATAGCTCTGATTTGAGCTATTTGTCTTGGTAGTATTAAAGGATGTCAGGCTTCAAAAGTTGTGTAGTTCAAATATCCCCCATCTTCTGATAATGTCCATAGTTTAATTTTTGTCTTCTTTAAGAGACTATAATATAAGTCAGGGTTTTTTTTTTCAGATAGCAGTGTGACATTATCATCTACGTCAAGGTGTATGTAGGGTTTTAAGACCCTTGTTGTTACTTTGCATAAAACTCAAAAGGAATTGTCATTCTTCCTTCCCTGAAATTGGTTGTTATTGTGCAGATTGATTTTATTTTCTTTCCTAAAGCTTTAATCTGGAGAAAGAGGGAGAGATTTACTTCACCAAGATTTTTTTTGTGCAACACAGATGCCATTCCCACTAAACTGAGTCTTTTTATAAAGAGGCTAGTGGAATGTTAGCTTTGTTAACCCTCTTTTCCAACTGTTACCTAGGTAAGTGTGTGTGAAAGTAAGTATGTGCTTGGAGCTGTTGAGCCAGACTTGGTCCAAAATAGGAAATGCTGAAGTCCTTAAATGGCAAGGAATGTCCAGTTCTGATAAGTCTATTATTCACTTTTACAAGTGACTTAATGGGTTTGAGTAAATTTTCTACTTCATTTGTTTCTCTTGACTTTCAGCTGTTCCCAGCTGGTGTAGTAGCACAGTATGTTGAGCAAATGTGTGTGTTGTTCTGCTCTTAATAAATTAAATCACAGAACAAACAGTGATATTAACAGTGGTGGATACAGACGATGCAGACTCCTGAATGTTCATGTTTGAAGCAACAAGCACTGGAGAGATTGGACAGTGACCTGAATTTTTTTGGAATAAATCTGGATTTATCCTAAGTTTTTCCATTCAAGACTACTGACATGGTCTAACAGTAAAATACATGTATTACATAAAATCTGAAATTCAGTGATACCTGCTTTAACCCAAAATGACTTAAAAACTGGCTGATTAGATTAAAAAATGAATTGTTAGTGGGTTAGTTCATTCATAAACAGAGAAGGTTTCTAATGAAGCTTTTGAGGGCTTGTTCTCAATATGCCTTCTGAATATTTATCAGTAAATCAAAAGAAGATTCAAATCCTTGGTGTTAAGTTTTATAAAGGGGTTCTGTGTTAGATTTCATTACAGTCCAATCACTGTGCATCTACAGTCAGGTGTACTTATTTAATACATACAATGTAAGCCCTGATCTATAGGAGCAGAGAAGGTAAGCTACTGTGGGAATTCCCTCTCCTGCTATAATTTTGCTGCGCAAAAGCACTTGGGGTTCTTAAATGCATAAGTACAGACAAAATAGTGATTTTACATCTTTTGCATGTACCATTGACAGAGGCGTCACGACAGTTATGTTTTGCCCATTTCTAGTGCCTGCTTTGTAAAAAGATTGCTAAAAATCCAGCGAGAGGCCAGGGAAGAGTTAGAAAAGTGATTTATAGTCTCAAAAGTATGTCTTGCCATGAATCAAAAGGTGCGTCAGTCTACAGTTTGTCAAAGGCTGTATCTCCACGGTGCAAGCAGCACCGGATAGTTTATCCAAGCTAGATTTAAATGTCTTGCCCTGGGTGTTTGCCCAAAGAAGAGGATAAATGGTGTCTTGAAGACAGACTGACCTACCCTGAGAGAAGTGTTGTGCTGGACAATTGTGTAACAAGATCCAGTGGCTGAAAACAAAACTTGGAAAAAAAAAAAAAAAAAAAGGAAAAGTGGTAGTTGGAGAAGTGATACAGTTTATCATAATGAATGCAATTAATCATTGAAACATGACTTAGAGCAAAACATAGGGTCAGTGTGGAGCCTTGGTAAAAGGGAACTTCTTTGTAACTCTCCCTGATAACCTTACCTCAATTCACTACTTAAACCGGTTATATTTGTATAATATTATACATTTCATTAAAGTATTGTAAAATCTATTTTCTTTTTTTTCTTTAGAAAATACCCTTGCTTTAAAAAAAAAAATCTGAATAAACAAAATTTAGAAAGCTCTGAATAATGATAGGAATTTGTATTTCTAATTTTTTAAAATTTTATTAGTATTTGAGAGTGCAGTTCACTTTTTAAAGGAATTTGACATACACGTTATATTTGTTTGTTATATTGGTTTTGTATTATATTTTTTAGGAACTATTCCTGCAGGGCAGTGTTATTCCACTCCCTCTACTTTAGTACTGTGATTTGCCTTTAGTTGAGAAGGGAGTCTGGCTTCTTTTTTGTTATTTTACGATATAATAGCATACTTTTCAAGAAAGCAAATAAATGAACGGAAAACTGAAACATATGCAGTGTCATTTGCTGCTGGGGATTATCCACTGCTGAATCTTAAATAGGGTTATAGATGGTTTACAACCTTGAATGATCAAGGGAGCCTATAGAACAGAAGATTATTTTTTATTTTTTCTTAGAGGTTAGTAAACTGATCAGTATTTTATTAAAGGTTCTAGTTAGTAGAGCTGGAGAATTCTGTATTGACTTGGGCCTGTTTAACATCCATCCATCCAGGTAATGTCATTTGGTAGTAATTCTAGGACTTCATAGGGCAAATATTGTCAATATCTGCAGAGTGCAGCATCTCAGTTTAAAATGTATTAATTTTGGTCATTTTGGATGGCAAGTGAAGTATCCAGATGCAGAACCTCTGTTAGGTTTTATAGGTGCAGCAAAATAGAAAGTGAACCAGCTGGTAGTTGATGTTAATGGTACTCACATGTGCTTGTATGTTAATGCGAAAGTGCACTGAATCATGCCTGCGGTTGTCCAAAAGTAAGAAAAACAGTTGACAGAAACCATGAAATAGTTGACAAGGAAGAAGTGCCCCAACAGCTGAAGGAAGAGAAGGGCTTTCTTCTCTTTGCTTCTGTGGATGATTCTCGTTGCCCTAACTTGATCCTTTTCCTTGACAGATTTCTCATGGTCTTTTAGAACTGACTGCGAGGGTTATGCATGGCTAGAGGTGAATGGGATAAGGTCACATTTATTTGCAAATGTTAAGGCTGTGAGAAACTCTCACCTGTTGACAGTGGCAAAATAAATGTGGTACCCATACTCTGCCATTTGCTTTAAATGGACACTGACTACATGATTTAGTGTCATGCACATGTATTTGTTTTTGAATGTATGCCAGAAGTAATGTGAGCTTATGCTGCAAATGAAAAAAGATGCTTATTACCAGTGTTGGTTTTGGTCCATGTCTGTTCTCCTCCTTCTCTCCATAGGAAAATACTGTGGGTTTGGCTTTCAAATGGATGGTTTAATTACTTCAAAAAGTAATGAAGTCACAGTACAGTTCATGAGTGGAACACACACTTCTGGACGTGGATTTCTTGCAGCTTATTCAACCACTGACAAATCGGGTATTTATAATTATTTGGTAATTTTCCTGTGCTGGTAAAATTAGAGCTGCCTAGCAAAAACACAGAACTAATTTATTTATTCCTGCGTTCTCACAAATTAACTTCTAAAAATGAAGACTTTTAATACAGTCTTCCTGATATTTCTGTGTAGGAAATGGGACTGTTCAGTTATTATTTAAGTTGCTGTAATTTTAAAGAAATTATATCAAAGCTTACCCCTGGATAGCAGGGCAAGAATCACAGTTACCTCTTAAGAATGAAAGAGCTGCTTCAGATAAAGGATGAAATGCATTTTTTCAGGTAGTAATCAAGGTGGCAGATAACTAAAAAATGTTCTTACCAAACTGTATGTATTTTATACAGATGAACCTTGTGGAAAATTTTATTTCAGTGACAGTTTCCTATACTCCTTCAACTCTTTAGTTACATAATCTGGTGATTACTTTCTTCCCCCCCCCCCCCATTTTTTTTTTTTTTTTAGCCTCTAAAGGAGGCTGCTGTATTTGTTTTGCATCTCCTTCCACTCATTGTAACTGTGAGTGACATACGTGGTGCACAAGGAAATGAAGGATTGCCAGCAACTGCTTCACAAGGCAAAAGGCTTCAGAAAACCCTTTATAGAAGTAATTCTTAAAAAGAACAGATAAAGGGTTTTCATTTTTAATTTGTGTTTTGTGGGTTTTCTGATGCGTTTCTCTCAGTATTTTGGACTGTATGTGCTGATACACAGCAGACTGAACATAAAATTTGAGGTATCAGTCACGGATGCCAGTAACATGGCACTCATGTTTGTTCTCTATGCTGCCTGGTTTCAGTACTGTAGGACTGTTAAATACTGAAAACAGAGGCCTGTTTAGTTTGTTTAATTTTGTGAAAAAAAAGTATGTTTATGTCTGAATATGTCAGGTTCTCTGAAGTATAGCTATAAATTAAGCTGCACAAAAAATGAATGTTTGTAGTGTTACTCTTGTCTAACATTCTCAGTGGATTTCCCAGTTACTCAGACAAATTATCAAGGTTCTACTGTAATACAAAATCTGTTGCAAGAAAATTTAGTAGGAACGTAGTTTTTTTTTTCATTCTGAGACTTCTGGTTAAGCCACAAAGGCTCAAACATATATTTTTGTGCACTTTAAAAAGCATACTCAAACTTGTCGTCTTATCATCCTCTTGACCTAACATTTTTTCTTTCCAGACCTAATTACCTGTTTAGACAATGCAAGTCACTTTTCCGAACCAGAATTCAAGTAAGACTGATTTTACCTGTTTCCCCCCCAATCTCTTTAATGAAGTCATTTTAGTGTTTCTACTTCACTGTTACGTACACCTGATGCAGCTTGAAAATTGGCTGTCCAGAGAACTTAAGAAACAAACTAATTAGGGTTAGGGCTGAATAATTTTGACATTTGCACTCCTCCTTCCTCTGTCTCCGCCCCCCATTTTTGTTATTTACATGCAGTATACAGTAGAACCTCGTTAATTTGCACTAACAGATAGGAGCTAATATCTCATTCCCATAGAAAGAATATAGCTTTTATAAACACATGTTACAGCAGGTATACACCTTAAATGCTGAAATTTGTATTACAGTTATCTAAGGAGCACTAAACTATGAAATGTGTTAAAAATTACAAGCCCGTTTCACAGTTTGGTGTGAATTAATGAGGTTCTGTGGAGACATAAAATGCTGTACCTTCTGATGGGGGAACCATATGTCATTTCCCTGTTTTCCTCCTCCTCCATTTCCATCTAAAGCAAGGACAGTGTTTAAAGCTGCGGACTGTTGTGAAGTACATAAACTTACTTTTCGGAAAACTTCAGCCCTGGCATCATGAAAAGTTTCAAAGTGCAACTGTTGCATTTCTCTTTCATTTTCCCAAGTTCCAAAATAGGGTTTTAATTGTAGGTTCTGGCCTTACTCAACACGTGCTGAAGTCTCTGAAGCCCACTGTTTTTGTGGTACCTGCAATGTTGCTTCAACTGTTGTTGAACTGCGGTGAAAATGTTAATAGTTTACTCCAGTTCACTGTTATATCTTGAAGATTTAATTGCTTTTGTATGTGCAGTATGCAGTGGGACTGGAACATAACCATCGGCCTGCATCAGAGGTGCAGATGTCTTGCCTTTTGCTTTTCATGAACTAGTGGCATTACGTGAATTTGACCAGTTTTTTATGATGAAAGCATTGCCAGGAGCTACTATAAAATAACGTTACTTTTCAGATCTATTATTTAAGGATGCAGAACAAATAGATATGCAAGTCTCTAGTTTATAAAATAAAATGCATTAATATTGGTACTTTCAATTTACAGAAGCCATGCAGTATTTATATTATTAAATGCTGGCTTTATTAATATATTATATTGAGACTGGAACTGTAGTTTCAGCTGAGGCTTCTTTTTAAACTTTTTCAAATGTCTGTTCTCCTGTTGTGTACTTCTCTTCCTGAGTAGTTTTTTTGTCTGATTTGATATGTCTTCAGTGAGGATATATCCTTAAATAGTGATAATCTGAATGATAACAGTGCATTGTAAATCAAAAAATTGTGACTATTTTATAACGTTATAAGAGTTGTAGTTGCATGCATATCTTGACTTGATATTTTATCCTCTTCCAGTAAGTATTGTCCAGCTGGATGTGTGATTCCTTTTGCTGATATTTCAGGGACTATTCCCCATGGATACAGAGACGTAAGTAAAAATACCGTGGGCTTACATGAATTTTGGTAAAATGCCATTTGGTAAATGGTATAATTACAAGTCAATTATAGTTGTTTACATTAGATCTGCTGCCTGGGTTCTGGAATTTGTACCTCCTAAAGTGAATAGCATGGTACTCATTTTTTTGCACAGCCGCTAAATGGCTAGTGCTTCAGATCTTGCCATCTCCAAGAAGCAAAGTAGTGCAGTAAAGACTCAAACATTTTTGTAAGGCCTGCTGAGAAGGGTGGATCAATCAAAATATTATTTTCTACTTCCTGTTTTGTTTTTGTTGGCTTTCTCGGGTTGGGAAATTCAGATTTATAAAGAGAGAACCAGTTCTTTTTATGGTGTCGTCTTGTTTTTGACACTGTAATGCATCTCTAAACAGAGGGTCTCAGTGGTTATCTTAATTTTTTTATTACAACATGAGAGGTGAAATACTGTCTATGCTCAGCAGCTATAAAACCATTTGCAAAATAGAGTTAATACTGTAACATTAATAGTTCTATGAACTGGAAATGAGTATCTTCAATAATGTACTATTTACTCAGAACACTACAAAAACCTCTATACTCTTTTTCCGATGAAGGCTTTTATAACTGGATTAGCTTACCTGCCATAGAACTGGAGGGTGTTTGCTTTGTTTATTTTTAAGTTATTATAATTTTGCTAGCAATCTAGTAAAAAAATACATTAAATCTCTTTGTTTATGTTAAAATACACTTTTAATAAGCCACTAGATCTAGCACAGAGGAAAGACAATTTTAAAGCGTTAGTGAGCACAGATGGTAATATTAAATATGAACCTAAAGTGTGCCTCTCTGATTTTCTTTTCTCGAATATCTGCAAATCCTAGGCTACCTGCTTAAATAATTACCCATATGTAAAAATGTCACCACAGCATAGCTGTGTTATATATTCTGGTCCACAGTGAGTCAGTCCTCGCTAAACAGCTGCGAGGTAATTTTTGTAGCTAGCAACAAGATGAAGTTGATTCTCTGTCTAGCATATTTGTAGCATCAGTAGGAGTTCTGCTTGTTGGGAGTTTTTTTCGCCAAAATCTGGAAAAACTGTTTTCTGTGGCAGAAAAAGGAAACTTTACAAAATAAATGCCCTGTGACTTTCTTTTTGTATGCTTTATTGCTCTGAATAAAAGGCAGAGAATTTCCCAGAAGTGAAGCTGTGTGGAAAGAAATCAAATTGTCCAGCACTTTAGACAGAGTTTCAGGTAGATATTCATGCATCTCTTTCAAATTATCAGCAGCTGCTTGCTGCTTTAAAAAATACCCTAAATCTTGATTGACAATACTTGTGTGACCCTAATGTCCACAGTCCTTGAGGACTTGGAGCACTCATTGCTGATGTCTTCTGGTAAGCAGGGAGAAGAGAGCTTCATCTACTGCAGAATCCCATGCTCTTACTCTCAAGGGAAAGTGGGAAAGGAAAGGGGAGCTGCATGCATGGGCAAGACATAATTACATTTATTTAGAAAGCTTTTGTGATATTTGTGGGGTGGGAATAGGGTTAGAGTTTTTATGTGTGAATATACTGAGGAGATTTATGTTTGGAAAAGTTTGGGTGAGCAGGTTTTTTTGACAGTGAGCTTGAGGTATAGGGGCATCCTGGCCTGCTGCACCATGCAATTGTTTCTAAAGAAGCCACAATGGAGAAAGTTGTTCTGTTTTTAAAATAATGTGAGAAAGAAAATCATCCATGAAGTCTTCCTTCTCTAGAAAGGACCTGCTGATTCCTTCTTCAAGAACTGTGGTGAGGCTGTATAGTACCTAGTGGACTGGTTGGCAGAGCAGTGCAGCAAATGTGTTCAGTAGCAACAGCTAGCAGTGGACTTTGTTTGGTGGAGCAACTGTTAACAGTAAATAAAAATCTGCAGTCATCCTCTGTTGTTTATTGACTTGGGCAAGTCAGCACTGGGATACCACACTAGTAATAACAAGCTAAATATGGTTTCCGGAAGGTATATTGGGGGATACCCCGCTGGTCCTTCACAGACAGCTTTGCCCACTCAATTTTCTAAAGTTCGGTTTGATCCCAGTCTCATTGGATGTGAGCAAGGGGCTGCAGAATTGCAATGTGTCTGTGCATACCCCAGTGCTGCACATTGCAAGAATGCCCGTGAATAGCTCTGACTATGCCTGTCGCACTGTGTGTAGCCAGTAATCCTCCAGAAACCATGGTGCACGTGGTGGATGGGTGCAAAGCCACTGCTGCTAAGTTGTTTTTTTGGAACTGGACTGTCTGTCTGCTCCTGAGCACTAGGATGTTTCTTGGTCAAACTCCTTTGGCCTGGAAGGGTTTGCTTCCCAGCTGGAGAAGATCTCCTGGGCTAGTTTTGGTCCTGGAGACAGAGACATCTTGCTCTGCTCACTCTGTGCTGTGCCCGAAGGACTTGGTGTCGTGAGTCAGTCCTGCTGTCTATGGCACAGCTAGCCTGCAAGGCAGGGAAATGAAAGTGTCACTGTGACATTTGTTAGGGGATCCGAGCTAACAGTCGTCCGGGGAGAGAAGGAAAGGACAGGATGGCCTGCAAAAACTTTTTGCATAACTGGTCTCCATTGCCCTGTACAACCTAGGTAATCGGGTTCTTTAGAATGAATTGTATTCATGTGTTACTGTGGGTTTATACGGATCAGAGTGCTGGATGGTTATGCCATGTTTAACCATGAGTGAAAAATATTATCCAATGGCTAAAAGCTACAAAATCTGCAGTGCATCACTCCTTAATTGTGAGAAAATGAATAAACATACTTTCAGTGTGCTTTCTATTAAAAGGTTTCCTCTGTATTTATGTATTCAACTTCTGTTGTCTAACATAATAGGTTTATTACAGGCTGAAAGTCTGGCTGTCTGGCTTTTTCAGACTGATTCACCTTGCTGTTTGTTTGAGCTTATTTAATTACAAGAGTTACATTCCAAATACATCTGGGCGAGGGCACACTGAAACATTAGGACCTTCTTTTTGTTGTTTTATAAATTCCATAATAAAACAAAGATGAATGGTTTCTAAATAATAGAGATAACAGTTAAATAAGAACAGTATCTTAATGTAATAATAACAAAGACTGTAACTGGACTATGTAGCGTTTACAATATATGGTGTAGTATTCAATTTATTTACAATGTATTATTAAATTTTTCTTCCCCCCCACCCTCTTCAAGTCATCATCACTTTGTATGGCTGGTGTTCACGCAGGCGTTGTGTCAAATACTCTGGGTGGCCAAATTAATGTTGTAATCAGCAAGGGCATTCCGTACTATGAAGGCTCCCTGGCTAACAATGTCACCTCAAAAGTGTAAGTGTACTTTCCATGTTCTCCTTATCTTTAGCACCTTACATCTTGGTAATGTCTCATCGTGGGATTAATTTCAGCTAATGTTCCATGGCCAGGTTCTCTTCTGTAAGGTTCTCACAATGCTCTTTTGCTATGATGTGATTGTTTTACCAGATATTTTTAACCTCTGAACCATAAAGATTAATTTTCCAAGTTCTGCAAGGAGGTTTTATCTTCCAAAATGCATGGCATGACCATAAATTCCTAATGGTCTGTGGAAAAAGAATAATTTAACAGCAACTTTTTAGTTGCAGGGAAGAGAGTGTAATTTGTCATTTTATCTCAGGAGTCCCAGGAATTAAAGCAGTCAGAGGAGATTAATTCTTGTTATTATGATTAGCTTAATTTAAAAGGGAAGCATTTTAATGAAGTCTTGCGTTTTGCTGGGCAGGTGTTTGTTTGAAAGCCTTCAACTCAGTATCTCTGGACTAGATTTCAGTTGAAGAGGTGTTTGTACTGAAAGCACTGCAACTTGGTGACAGGAAGCGTTGCTTTAATCGTGAAGTGCTTGTTTACGCATATGTGCCTAGGTTTCAGTGGCAAGAAGTCAGACAAGAAAAATAAATTGAAGACAGTTTGTTTCAATTTTCCTCACTGACTACTGCAAAAAAAATCTTTTGTTCTCTGCAGGGGACCGTTATCTACAAGTCTCTTCACATTTAAGACAAGTGGTAAGCATTATCACATGTATTAACATTGACACTTTCATACAAATTTTGTGAGTAGAAATAAGTGTGCAGGTATTTTATTTCTTAATTTTTGTTCTAGTGAGATATTTTTACTGCATTCCTCAGTAATGTATATTTTTGAATTGTTTTACTATCTCATTTTGATGACTAATCATCACTACGTTTATAGGTACAGTGGTGTATAAAGTAAGCCTTGCTTATCTGCAGAAAGAGATTCTTTCAGGTTATGTTGCTCCATTATGGTCTGGTTTAAAGTGACTTGACTCCCATACTTGAAAGACACTACTAAAGCAGAGCCGGGCACTTAAGAGTTGCTCTTTATTTGTAACAACTGTGCGTACTAGGTTTTTTTCCAGGTTTACTCCTTACACTTTCCTTGTTGCCTGCTAAGAAAGCTAGTAGAAATCCAAAAATGATTCCTCAACTTTATCCACCCCCCCCCTTTTTTTTTCTCCCATATTCTTGCAACTGAATGCTATGTGATAAATTACTTGTCTCTCTTGCGCTGGAAGAGCATCTCTTGGGCCTTGCTCTGTGTGTAAGTTGTGTTCTTTCTTGGCTGCCATGTTTTGTTTCGTAAATGTGTACCAGGTTGCTGATTGGTGTAACAAGTGTTGCTCCTTTTTAAAGCTTTACTGCTTTGCATGTTTTTACTTCCTATCAATTACCTGTTTTACAAATAAATTAGCTGTAGTTTTCTAAATGGAAGCTAGCTTTTCTGTTAGTCACTTTAAATGCCATCCTTGAATGGATGTTGGAAGTATTGTTTAGACAGTGACCTTTCCTTAATCTCTTTAACTGTTTTAATAACAATATAAAAAACCCCCAACAAACTAACAAAAGCATTATGTTTGTTTTCCATAAGGATAAAGTTAAAAACAAAAAAAAAGGGGGGGGGGGAATCATACACATACGCAGGAAAAGTGTATAAATAAAAGTGATGCTGAATGGGGATATAAAGGCAGGAATCTGATGGGCAGAAGTGTTTGGAGATGGAAATGTATACAAACAAGCAAAACATTAGAAAACAATAATCCACATAATGTTCAAATAATTTCTCTCCCAGACCTCTGCAAGAGCTGGAAGGAGTTGCATGTCTGGTGACCGTATGCATGGACAATATTAAACAGAGTGATAAGAGGCAGAGTTTGTTGGGTTTTTTTCTTTCAAAATGTGATCTGATAGTGTATGTGAAAAGTAATTAAATGGCCTGGAAATATGAAGAGAGGACAAAATGCTGATCTAGACTATCTGGATTTCAGTGACATATTTGAGAAATTACTGAATAAAGTAGAGACAAGATGCAGGTCTAGATTAAAATGTCTGTAGTTGGGTGGCCTAGGAGTTAGCTGAAGGAAGAAGGGACTCCGTAGGATGCTGAAATGAGATTTATCAGATTGTGGTGAAGTTACTAGTGTGGTTCTTCCGTAACAGTTGGTTTCACGACTTGGTACAAAATACAGGAGTGTGTTATTAATGCTAGAGGTGTGGTCACTGCAGAGGAAGACACAACTATTTGTACAGGAAGACCTAGCTGACTTTGAGAGTTGAGTAATAGAAATTAATTGAAGAATCCCAGAGCAAAAAGTATTCATAGAGACTGAGGCGTTTCTGCTTCAAACTGTGGCCCCATGTTAGATGGAGATGACGGATGAGGGAAAGGATTCCGTTAGTGAAGTGCTAAGTGTGATCCTGTGCTGCAGTAGATGAAGTACGTCCAGTAGAGACAAGGAACTATTAATGCCATCTCACAAGACATTGGCGGGGCCTTGTCTGCGATCCAGTCGCACCTGGGCTCTGCCGCCTGTGTCTGCCCTGAGGGATGAGCGCCCGACCTTGGTGCCGAGGAGGGCTGGAGGGGACCTGCAGGGAGAGGGTCAGCTCATAGCAAAAGGGAAGCCAGGCTGGGTTGTTCAGGCTGGCTGACTGAAGGCAAAGATCGCTCTCTACTGATATGTCTGGGGAATACGCGTGTAAAACTACTGGCACTACAGAGTAAGATTTAGCAAAGAGCAAATGGGTGCCAACTAACCACAAGGAAATTTAGCCAGGAAGTTAGGAGATGTTTTTTAGCCATCAGCAGCATGAGACATGGGAGGAAACTTCTTGTAAGAACGGTGACAAAAAAATACAACTAATTTCAAGGATGTGTTTGAGCTCAAGGCCAGGATTATGACATGGCTTCCTACACGCTTTGGTGTATTGTTTGAATTAACATTGTGATACTGAGGTGGGTTTAAAAAACAAGAAGTTATATAGACACAAAAAAGGAACGAATGATCAAGTAGTCTGTTTCCCATTCACTGCATCAACCGTACATGCTCTTAAACCATGACAGCTCCCCCAAAGCTTCTCGTCTAGTGCTCTGTGTGGGTGGTGATTGAGAGAATATCCACATTACTCTTAGGCAGGCATAAGTCATGGAATACTCACAGCCACAAGTTTGGTTCCAGCATCACTATTAGAAAGCGGAAGACAGTGTGTTTTGTTGGTAGTGTTGTTATAGTATAAATTTAAATGGCAGTTGTAATGTCTTAAACTCCAAACCAGTAAAATCATTGTGTAACTTGAATTTTCACTTTGAATCCTCACCTTTTCTATTGCTCAGGTTGCTATGGGACACTGGGGATGGAATCTGGGGTAATCCCTGATTCCCAGATCACGGCATCATCTATTCTTGAGTGGTCTGACCAAACAGGACAAGTGAACATTTGGAAACCTGAAAATGCCAGACTAAAAAGGGTTGGTCCTCCTTGGGCTGCTTTTATCAGTGATGAACATCAGTGGTTGCAGATTGACTTGAATAAAGAAAAGAGAATAACAGGTAAGTGAATCTGATGTGGCTTTTAAGCAGCATTGAAAAAGTTTGGTTGCTGACATCCTTTTTTTCCAGTGCTTGGTCTTAGTTAAAGTCCAGGTGACATTTAATTACCATTACAGGAAAGTTGGTTCCATGTCCTAGCTAATATACTGAGGAGCCTGGAGTTAAGAGTTGAACAGGTGGAGTTTCATGGTAGAAAACACATCTTCCATCAGAATTTGTTGAAGTGTTTCCTGTGGCTTTATTGGATCCTTGATGCTTCCCTTTTCCTGCTGATTGTCTCCTTGGAGTTGCAAATCCATATCCAGTTAGCTCAGTCCACTGGTACCTCTGGTGCAGGTGTACTGACTTACATTTCTAGGTTCTCCCTACTGCCCGTCATAGCCATAGTGAATCCAAGAGTGGAGCCAGGAGCAGTTGCAGTGCAATGTGAGATAAGCAGCAGAGCGAGTAAACCAGCTGGCAGCCTCCCCTTCACCTCCTTGCCTGAAGTGGAACTTGGGCTGAGAGTTGGGGTGGTGGGCCCCTCAGCAAGCGGGCCAAACAGTGCAGACTGATGCAGCCAGAGTCTGGGTTAGGCTCTGCTCCATCACAGAGATTGTGATGGACCATCCGTCATCGTTTTAGTAGCTGTGTCTGTTTGGAGAGACAGCTGGAGGTGCTGTTTTACAAAACAGCTTTCCTTTGTGAGTCGTTCTGCAGCATTGAGGTGTCGACTTTAGGAAGCTACAGTTCTTTCCATGGTGCTTTTAGGGTGGCAGTACAAAAGCAGGGAAGAGTGGTGGTGTCTTGGCAACTGGGGACCGGAGTGGGCCATGGTCAGATGAACAGACTGTTTCCATCAAGAAATGGGGGAAAAGTGCTTAGCAAGGTTATATCATGAGAATTGAAAGTGAAATGATTTTCAGTCTCTGTAGAAGTTCCAGACCCTGGCACCTTGGACAGACTTTTCAAAATGTAACTGGACCAGTGGAGATTCCAACTACGTAATGCTGGATTCCAAAGCTGATCTATTAATTTTTACAAACTGGTACCTTTTTTTGTCTAACTGGGCACCTTCATTTTCACAGGTATTATAACTACTGGATCAACCTTAGCAGAGTACTACTATTATGTCTCAGCCTACAGAATTTTATACAGTGATGATGCACAGAAATGGACAGTATACAGAGAACCCGGCATGGATAAAGATAAGGTAAAAAATACCACAATTGTAAATATGACTAATTTTGGTACAGTGGGGAAGCATTAAATAACTTCCCTTTTCAGTGTAATTTTGAATCAGTATCTGTGCAGAAGAAAATATGAACACGTGCAAATATGTAAGGATTTGAACAGTTCTGAAATTCAGAGATTATTTTTATTACTGTTTGGGGGTGGGGGAATATTCTATACAAGAAACTTCCGTTGCCAGTGGTAGACTGTCTGGTACTGCGTCTCTTGAAGAACAATCAGATTTCTTTCAAAATAGGTTGTATGTTTCAAAATTAAGGTTTACATTCTTATCCTCTTGTGGTTACAGAATAAACGTTAGGGATTGTATAATTTTCCATCTTTTATAATGTTTGTCTGTCTTTTTGATGAAATACTGGTAAGTTTGTTTCTTGTATAATAGAACAGCCCTTGCAGAAGGGAGTTTTCTTAAAAAATGAAACGGTATGTTCAGACTGCGAACACTTTGCCACACAGAAAAATTATCTAATGTTATCGGCAAGATGATCTCATTTTCCCTGCGTTTACAGTTTTGCAGTATTTAATAGACAGTAAAAATGAGAAGATAATGTCCTACATGGTCTTCCTTAGTGGTTCAGATCAGATTTTCTTAAACAAATGAGAAGATTCCTGGTAACCTGACTCGAACTAGAATTTCTTTTTCTTACAATTCTTGGATGTAATTTACCTTACTTCCATAGGCCTGTGGTATTACATATATGTAATAGTAACTAATAACCTAGTAACTTTTTAGAAACGGGTCTTAAGAATGGTAACTCTTTAGCTGTACTTGGTTTTCTTCTGTTCACTGTGGATTAAGAATGTTTCAAGGTAGGATGTAGCATCCTGTTGATGAAGGTTGAAGTATCAGGTTTGTTAAATTAAGAGGTTTTTGAACACTGAACGTAATCACAGTAGGAAACTTTCCTGAAAGGAGGAGACTTTACTGTTGGGGCTGGTCCATCTCTACATGTGAACTAACAGACTGTTAGTATGAAGTATTCAAGGAAAAGAGGGGGGGGGGGGAATCCAGCATCTTTTGCTAGTTTTCGAGTGCCCTCTCCTGGCCATAAAATAAAATCTCCGCTAGCGAGCTGCCTAGATTTAGGCTTCATGTTTAGTTTGATTATTTTCTTTGAAAACCTTGGCATCTGTTGCCTTTTAATTTGAGCATGTTGTTTTTCTTGCAAGTTCACAAAATGAAACAAATTGTGGAGCTTGAAATTACAGGCAACAGATTTTTTTTTGCACTCTTTGTATCATTAGGTACAATGCATGAAGACAAATACATATCCAGGACGTGTAGTATCCAGCTGTAGTCAAATGACAGAAAAAAGGGTTTGGTGTGGTTGATCTCTTAGGCTTCAAAGTAGCAGATTTTTCTTCTGTCTGACATCATCTCATTTGATGCAGCTTTGCTTTTGGTTGCATATGCATGCAGGCTTCTCCCTTTGAGCCTTACATAATTGCACATCAGACCAGTCAGGAGGTGCTGTTCCCTGTTTTTTGAAAGATGTTTGCAATTCCTAAAGTTGTTCAGGAGACTAGAAGCTTTTCCAAGCCTGTCCTGTAGTCCTCTTGGCAAATAGCTTCTAGAGTTCTGTCAGTACTCAAGAAAAGCTTTCCTTAAAATTTTTATATATGAAAAAAAATAAAAATGCTTGAATTGGGGGAAGATGACAGATCCAAAGTTGCAGTATCACAGAAGTTTTGTTTGACAGCACAGAGGCAAATGGAGAGAATTTGATAATACATGGAATACAAAAGTGATTTCTCATCAAAATCTTGCACTGTATTGAGCTCAGAAGCACATTCTTTTTGTGCAAAAAATTAAATGAACAAAAAATACTGAGCTGCAGGTAAACTTACTATCATAACACTTGACATCAAAAGCTTGACTGAGAAAAGCCTGGAGTAAAGAACTACGTTACTGTTAATCTTTCTTGAAGATAGTAGACACCGTCAACAATTCTTGTTGCATTTGCTGTTACATGCTCAGCCTCAGAAACCTGAAGGGAGACCGACTTTCAGTGTTGGGCATCTATTTCCTAATCTGTGACTTCTGCATTTGTTGCTCGGGTAGCCAGATGCAGCTTGGACCTTCTTTTAGTAGTGGGCACTGGCATGGCACAGCGCAAACAAAGATACAGTACAGCAATGTGGGTTGGGCGCATCCCCTCAAAGAGTCACCCCTGTATTTTGCTTCTCATTTGCATCTTTACCAAAACAAATACTCCTCTGGTGAGATCTCTAGCTACAAGCCTGTGAGCTTAAAAAAATTTTTTAAAAATTTTCCCTAGTTTAGGGGAAAAGTGGAACCTGGTCTTCTGTCTTCTTGCCATGTCTCATTAGATTGTGAATATTTGGATACACAAACTGTGACTGCTTTGTATTCACTTATTTCCAAAGTAACACCATAGACTTGCCCCTGCATTTAATCTGTCTTCAATCACTGCTAGTAAGTATATTTATGAACAATGAGCTTAAATTCAGAGCAGGACAAGTGTCACCCAGACCATGTGCTTGGAAGTCTGCACTGCAGTAAGCTGGGGAAGAACAGAGACTATACACTTTTCAAGGTAAATACCTTGTGTTTGCCTACATAGATTTTTAGTATCATGAATGGCTTAGCAGTTAGTTGGATAGTGTTACATGGATACATAAAAATGAAAATGCTGATTACTAATTTTAAGATGTAGAAAACCCAATACACTCAAACATGAAGTACTGCATTTAAATTACCAAGGGATTTATTTTTCCATGCCTAACTAAATTGACTTACATGTCTATTTGATCAGTCAGTGCTTTCAAACATGAAGACAGGTAATGCCTATGTAAGGACAAACCAAAATTCTTATATGCAAGTAATAGTAATGGGGCTTGTTTGTCTTTTGAGAGTGGCGACACGTTATGTATATCAGGGAGGCCAGGCACGAGTCCCTTAAAGGTCCCTGGGGTTGTTTGGGGGGTTCTTTGGGCTTTTGAATGGATAGTTTTTTAGAATAATTGTTTTCTTTTAAACCTGTAGGGATATTCTAGTCATTTTGTTACAAAAACTTAAAACATCAGAGTGCAAGACAAAAACCTCTATCTTGTTTACCACGGTTGAAACACCAGTGATCTGCATTGATCAGAAGTGTGCTAAAAGCTCTTGACTGCTCCATTTTATGCAGACACATCAGCTGTTACACAGTACAGTGCTTGTCCTTAAGCATGGCAAGGTGCTTTATCATTTACCAAGCAGTGCAAGTGAGCAGAAAACTCACTATAATATTTATTTTTCAGGCAAGTGCCATAATTCTGTTCCGCATTATGTCCAACATGACTTGCAGTATCTTTATCAGTGCTTACAAAACAAACATGTTACTCATTTACCTCTATGGTGACATGTGTTGCAATAGCACTCAAGAGCTGCATTTGCAGAGCCAAAGCCCAACTGCTGTGCACTAACATGGAGAGATGGTTCACTTCCTACCCGAAGAGATGATCCCAAGCCAGTCCTCCCAAAGACAGTGACGGGATGGCTTGCTGGGCTGGAGTACTGGGCCTAGCTTCTGTATTGTTTTAAGCAGTTCAGTGCAAAACCTGTAGTTGGCGGTAAGTTTGTCAGTGTGCTGACACTGCATCACAGTGATATCTGCTTACTGGTTTTCAATTTCAACCAGATAAGCCCATTCTGTCTTGTCACATTTGCACGAGTTCTTTGTGTGCAAGGACCAGCGGTGAGGGACCAGCTTTAGCTCATCCTTTATGCAAAGTTTGTGCCCTTCTCTTCCAGCATGGCTCCGTACGAGAGTCTGAAGAGAGAGCGCTCACGTTCTGAACCTGAATCCTTTTATTTTGCTTGTGGTTCAGCCCTTGTAGACAACAACCACTAGAGGACAGTGTGATTACATACTTTGTGTCTTAATGCTTTCTAGCAACTGGCGTACCCAGTCATAGGACAGACTATGCTTAAACTATTAGGCTGTGTGAAGGCACCGCTTAATGCCTGCTTTCACATTGTCACAGCTGCTTGCTGTATATATTTGAAGAGTAAGTGCAGAATACCAAAAAGGACCAAGTTAGAATTATTCGGTGCCATAAATGTGAGATGTCTTTAACAGCAGGCACTGCCTGGGGAGCATCAGTAGAATATCACGTGGTACCTTTATTCTGAAGTAAGTAGTTGCGTGCATACATGTACACACGCACCTTTATTTTATTTAGTTATATATTAAATAGGGCCGAGTGAGTGGAGATGTGCAGGCAGCAGCACCGTTCTGGGCTGAATTTTCAGGATTCTGCACCACTTATTTTTCCTAAATAAAACATAAAAATTGGTTGTAGTTACTTAGTTGCTATTGCATTTGTGTAACATAACATTTGTCTCTTGTTTTTTTTTTCTTTTCTAGATATTTCAAGGGAACACTGAATTGTACCAGGAAGTTCGCAATAATTTCATTCCACCTATTATTGCACGCTTTTTTAGGATTAACCCCTTAAAATGGCACCAGAAAATTGCAATGAAAGTAGAATTGCTAGGATGTCAGTTTAGTATGGGTAAGGCAACTGAAAACCTTTCAACTGTGCAAGACAAGCAGTGAAATAATTTGGCAAAGATTACATTGTGGGTATATATTCAATGAGAAAAAAGTACTTCTGTAACTGATACTTCTGAATTTCTTCTGAAGTTATTACACTTAACCTGAAAAATACCTAGTTTGGGCATAAACAAGGTAATTTAGAAAATAAGTGTTTCAAAAGACACCAGTCACTTGCTTTCCGTGTTACTGATTTGTAGGGGTTTTTTCCTCATTACATAACACGAACAAAAGCTTTAGAGCAAACTGCTCCAGCTGTCTTCTGAAAAGGAAACATGCAAAACTAGCACTTCAAAAAACTTTTTTTATAAATTCTTTTCTTCTAAAGGCCGTGCTCCTAAAATCACCATGCCACCACCACCTCAGAACAAGAATGACGACAAGAATGATGACTTCAGCGATGACTTCATTCATTCAGTGAAGACTTCGTTGCAGACAGATAAAACAACTTTCACACCTGAAATAAAAAACACCACAGTGACTCCAAGTGTAACCAAAGGTATGCACAGTTAAGCAGCAGAAGTGTTTGGGAAGTCCTTACAGTACTTTGGCATATACTAAGCGTGCTTTCTGAATTTAAGTTTTGTCAACACTTAATATAATATATTATAGCAAATTAGAAATATTTTCTTCTTAACATTTACTAGTTATTAAATATATGTAGGATACAAAATGTACAGTTGCATACTGCATGCAGAAACAAAACCAATCTTCCAAGTCACACAATAAGTTCTGTCTTTCAAAACTTGTTCAAACTGAGTTCAGGTTTTAATTACTGAACAAATTTTATCAGAAGTTGCAACTTGGAGTTCCCTTCAGAATTAATCAGATGTAACTGCTTTGTTATTTAATTTGATAATTTCTTAGGACAAAACACTTTTGCTATAGCTAATCTTTTATGGAGCAGTCATGTTGGCAAGAGATTCGAAAAACATCTGGCATCATCATTTTGTGTATCAAAGAAAATTGTCAGAAAAGGGAGCAAGATCATTGCAGATGTAGGCATTGGTGAAGTGTCCTTTGGATGACAGGGGACAGGATGGTCTCATGTCACATGCAGACCCAGTGTAGGCCGATTGTGATTGACTGTGAAGGTAGTGTGGCATTTACTTCTTATAGGAGGGTCAGACTTAAGTGGTTGCATACTCCTGGGCTCTTTTGATTTTCCTTGTTAATAATAAAAGACATTGTTCTAACAGAAAAAAATCGTACTTATATCAAAACAAATCTGTTGATTCTGATGAAAAACCTTGCAAAAATACCAGCTGTGCATACATGTAGAAGAGCTAGATGTTAATTGACATTTACACTGTGGGAGCATCCAGCAGGGTAGCTTAGCTGGGGGATCTGGTGTGATAGATGCTGTATGTGAAAACTATGTGCTTTACCCAAGTAATTTTCAAATTAAAAACTGATTTATGAGAAGCTTTTCTGTCTGACACCACTTAATTTAATGGCTTTCAGATGTGGCATTGGCAGCAGTTCTGGTTCCAGTGCTGGTGATGGTCTTCACTACTCTGATTCTTATCTTAGTTTGTGCGTGGCATTGGAGAAACCGGTAAATGAATAGATTAATGAAAGTGCTTTAAATGAATGTTAGCCTGGTGTGTGGGAATCAAATGCTGCATGTATCGTTATGGGAACTACAAGGTCCATGCTTGTGGAAGGATTTTTTTTTTTTCAGAACTGTATTCTCTGTGAGAAAACATTCACTTGAATAGCGAGGACAGTGAAAACAGCTTTTTGTAACTATTTCCTTAGAAGTGCTTTTACTGAAAACTGGTTTCTCCAGTAGCAGCAGACTGGTGATGGCAAGCCAGGTTAATGGTGCTTGTACTTTAAATTTGAGGACCAGTTACAGCCAAGGTGATAGTTGTGGAGCATTAATTAATGCATCTTTCAATAAGCAGACTAGCTAAAATACCCCCTTTTTCTTTTTTTTCACAGCAAGAAAAAAACCGAGGGCACTTACGATCTACCTTACTGGGATCGTGCAGGTAACAAAATGGTTTTATGAAAGCCTTTACTTGGCATTTTTGGTTTGATGTGTGTTTCAGATTGTAGTAACACAGACAACTAGCAAAAGCTTCTCTAATGCTGATGTAGGCAGAGTGAACACTGAATTTCTTTTCTGGACAGACTTAACTGCTTCATTCTTTGATTTTTTTTTTTTTTTTTTTCCCCCCAGAAATAGAAAATGCCTTGTTTCCTGTTAGAGCTTACAGCTTCAGATTTTTTTCAGTAAAAAAAGTATAAAACCTCTTAATTATACAACATGAGGGGAAAAATAATTTGAGGAGTGTCTTTATACATTTGATAATCATGTATTTGGTACTTTTTTTGTCCTGGAAAAAATCTTTCATCTTAGTATACAAGGTCTCTCAAGTTTCACCTTTCTTCAAGCATGTGGGATTGTTTGCAGTCCCTTTTAGGCATATTTTTCCATCCTGCTGACTTGTGCCTCATTAACTTGAGATCAGACAACTCCACCAAGCAGCACTTAGCAAGTGTCTTGAAAATGCTTGGGCGACAGCATAAAGGGTTGCTGCAGCCGTTGGGTTCATACTGTCTGTATGACCGTGCTTCACTCCTCTGTCCTCGTGCTGAAAATTTCCACATCTGTGTGTTTGCTCTCTGGCAGTTTTAAGTAAGCCTTATCCTTTAGACAAGAAACCCTTTAATGACCTTATCTGTATTTATTACATGTCTGTTTCTGATAGGTCACAGCATTGTTGTCTTTCTTACAATATTAGACTCAAAATATCCTGTATTTAAGTGTCAATGATGGACATACCAGATTTTTTTTTCTTGTTTGCTTAAATTTAGATGTTCAGTATGCAGGTCTGTTTTAAAAGGAAATTGGGCAAAATGCAGTATCAAAATAATGTTGCTACACTTCTCTGTGGAACCTCTGTCTGTCCCCTGCCACAGGCTACCTCAGATTTTGTTAAACAGTGTTCTGGGGTTTTGAATCTCCTGTTTTTTGGCTTTTACCTACAGGATGGTCTCTTAGAGCTGGAATGAAATACGGTAATAGACAGCAAAACTAGAATGACTCTGGCTACTGGAGGAAGGGATGGGGGTGACCTAACAAAACCAACTCTCCCTACCTTCCCTCAAGAAAATGTTCATGACCACAGTCACTCCTTTTCACTTCCGCTGAAGTTAAAATCCTTTTTATTCAGGTTTTTGGCAATACTCACTGATGAACCTTTTTCAACAATGTGAGTTAGAAACCATGATATTAACAGCCAGAAACCACATTAATTAAATGTACTCTTAGGTTGTTAACTGAGATTTGGCTAAAATTATATGTAAATATTTGATTTACAAATTGGAATAATGGCTGACTTTTTAGTATTTTCTGTGTTGTATTTTATGAGTTTGTTAATATGGTGAGTAGCTGTGGCTCATGGACATTCAGGGATAGATTCACTAGACTGGAGCAGTTCTGCAGGTGTTGGAAGGGGGAGCATTCAGGCAAGTCGATTGGGCAAGAGTAATACTGTCATCTCTGAATCTTCAGTCTGCCAGAAAATGTTAAAATACCTCGTAACTTTAGGGTCATGCAAATACTGATGATCAAGTTTTTTAATCAAGTTGTTATAATATTTTAGTAGCTTAAAACACAGTATGTATGCAGTCTTGGGTGTTTGTTTTTTTAAATCCATGAAGGATGGTGGAAAGGAATGAAGCAGTTCCTCCCGACCAAATCAGCAGAACATGAAGAAACTCCTGTACGCTACAGCAACAGTGAAATTAGTCACCTAAGACCAAGAGAAGTCCCAACAATGCTGCAAACAGAGTCTGCAGGTATATTTTACTGTTTCTGTGGGATGTGTAATACTATATATATATGTACATGACATGCCAAAAAATGTCAGGAATTTGGCTACATTTAATTGTTTCCTGTTTGTTTTGGGGAACAGAGGAGAAACGAATGGTTCTGTTAGTAAGTGCATTCCTTAAAATGCAGGCTTTTTCAAATCTGTTCTCGGAGTATCATAAAAGTAGGTATTAATTGACTTGATGTCCTGTGGATAGACACTTTCTGAAGTTAATGCAGTAACTGAAAGTTTCTTTACTTGTATGTGTTCCTAAACCCCGTAAAGGGTTGAAGGATTTTTTTGGTTATGTTCTCATGCACTGCAAATAATTTCACCCCGTGATCTTTATGCACACATCTGAAATGTGGCACTTGGTTCCCTACACTGACTGTATGGATTAAGTAATTCTTTTGATCTAGAAAAGGAGGAATTACTGATAATGATATTTGCTCTTTCCTTGGTGAACCAGTCATTAGAGGAAGATGACCGTGCCGCCTTTGGTTCTATGCTTATGTACCAATGGCAGAAATATGCGGATGTGCAGGAATTATGGCTTCACAGCAGGCAGAATTACTTTTCTCTTTTTTGGCTGCTTGTCTGTTTTCACCCAGCTAGCCAGGTTTCTCACCTCCAGCTTTTGTAACTCAGATGATCTGTTGAACTAAAACATCTCAGCTGACCACATGCAGGCTTCCCCCCCTCAGAGGATAAACCCTCTACCCCAAGGACCACTTTTTATCCAAAGCTAGGCAGGATAATTTGACTTAATTCTAATTTGGCAAGGAAGAACATTTCAAAAAACTTTGTTTTGAGGCAGATTTACAGCATGGGAAATTGCAGCTCACATGGGAAGAAGTACAAACCTGAGAAATTGGGAAGTTATGGCTATCCCCGTGGCTTTAACTATTTGTTGGAAATTACTTTTTTCCAAAGCAGTTGGCACTGGCAGACAGAGAAGGACCACTGGTTTGATCTAGGATAATAATTTCCGTGACACTATTCACAGGTTGCATTTGATGTGATGCCACTGTAAAAAAAAATTTCCATTAAGTGTGTTTTTATTTTGTTTTGTTGGGGCTTGCAACACAGAGTATGCCCAGCCACTGGTAGGGGGAATTGTCGGCACGCTTCATCAGAGATCAACCTTTAAACCAGAGGAAGGAAAAGAAGCAAGTTATGCTGATTTGGACCCTTACAATTCACCCATACAAGAAGTTTACCACGCTTACGCTGAACCGCTACCTATAACTGGACCAGAATATGCAACTCCAATAATCATGGACATGTCCAGCCATCCCAGCACACCTCTTGGCATTCCTTCCATTTCCACCTTCAAAGCTGCAGGGAATCAAGCTCCTCCACTGGTGGGAACTTACAATAAACTCTTATCCAGGACAGACAGCACATCATCAGCACAGGCGCTGTACGATACACCAAAGGGGCAGCCGGGGCCAGGTGCCACCGACGAGTTGGTGTACCAGGTACCACAGAGCGTGGCCCATTCCACTGGGAGTAAGGATGAACTAAGTTAGCTCACGAGTAAGGTAGAGTGATGGCTTGTTTTTAAAAGCCAGTTCCATAAAGCTGACAGTTTCATTTTTTAATTGCATTGTTTTGGTATTGTTAGTCTTAAATAATACAGTGTTGAACCAAAAGATGTGGTATTGGAAGTCTGGGAAACCAGTAATTCTGCCTTTCCTGAAGCTGTATATATAATTACAGCTTGTCTCCTGCAAAACCATGGACTTTATTACTACTGTACAATTGTCTGTCAGACATGAGCAAAGAACTCTTCAAGATTAGCTTCAGTGATTCATAGATGTGAATGATAAATCGGGAGAAACAGTTTAAAGTACGAAAGCCAATAATTTCTTGCTAATGGTACTATTTCTGGGGGAAAAAAAAAAAACCCAAACAAACCCAAAGCTCCTAACTTTCTAAGATCAGTATGTAAGCACTATAGCTTCTAAAATTCATTTTAACCTGTAAAATGCCTGCACAACTTTGGACTTTAAAAACTACTGTCATCAGGACTGATGGCAAAAATCCTATTAACTTCGTGGCATAAAATCGTTTTGATTTTAAATCATGTTATTTCAGCTTTTGTTCACAGGATTAGGAATCAGCAGCTGTGTGTTCCTCAGAAGGTTCCCACCATTTTTGTTAAGTCTTCCAAAACTAGAATCTGTTGTCCGTGCAATCTGTTTTCTGCCTCATCTCCTTAAGCCACTCAGTCTTGTTCCTTCCTAGGGATCCAGGAGGCACAAAGTTATACAAGCAAACTACATAGCAACTGCTTTTACATTTTTCCCTACTAAGTGAAGGCTACTCAATGGCATCTGCCTCGAATTCAGACTTCCTTGATGGTCACTGTGCAAGAAGCATCTAGGTGTTCCAGGTGACTGAATTCAGAAAGGTTTTCCCTGTCCCCCTGCCCAGAGTATCTATTGTTGTGTGTTAAGATGTGAGCATATACAAAGGAAGATATGTATATACTTTTGTGAGTGCTTAAGGAAGCACACAAATATTCTAATGGTGCACAGTTTGTGTTACACACGTGTTTAGCACATATGGTACGTTTTAGCACAACTGAAAAAGCCTTAGGGCTTTTCTTATGATTGTTCTTATTAGAAGTATAGTAGATTCCAATACCTTTGCAAGAGAACCAGTACTGTTCCAAAGAATGTCCATTTCAGAAGCATTTAATGGAATTTGTATCCTTTGAGTGTTCCAGTGTTCTCTACTATGAAAACATTGCAGTCAGTCTTCGATTTGGGATAAAGCAGACTAGTTTTAGCTAGGTAATCACAAAATGAAAAAAATTTGGATGTCATATTTGCCATTTTTTTATCTTGTTAGAAACAAAGCACAGCTTTTTAACCTAAGTAGTAGAAAAAACTCACAATAAAAATGCTTTATTTTTATTGTAACAGCACTGTTGGGAGGATGCTGAATTAATTTATACATGTGAAACCCCCTACCTACACAGCCCAGTTTTATGGACTTCCCTGGTTACTGTTTCTGTGATGTAATTCAAGTCAGCCTTTATTGCCCAGGGTCCCTAAACTAGGTGGAGAACATCCAAATCAGAACTAAACTACTGTTCAAGAGGGCTGCCACCATGTCTTTATACCAGTACAGTAGCCTAACTTCTCACTTGAAGTGAGCAAGGGCTCTAGATAGATAAACTCAGTAAATCCAAAATTACTTGTGGCCTATTCAACATACAGAATATGTTATTACGTATTCTTAAAGCCCAAGTCTACAATTTTTTGTTCATTCATTCACTGATTTTTTTATTTTTAGAATTAGGTGTCTAAGCCTCAATGTGAATGTAAGTAAGGGTGGTATATAAGACCCATTCATGAACAAGAAACTCCTGCCTATAGTTGTACTTCTAATGTTATTGCAGATTTTTCTGCTTGATAAAACTAGTCTGCAATCTTTGAAGTTTTGCTTAAACAGGTAAGTGTTCTTACCCCTCAGCAGCAACTAAGACTTTGAAATTATCTGAGCTGATTTTATTTGAAAGGGGTGGGAAGTTATTTGTTTGCACCAAGATGTGACATTCCAGCCAAGTTAAGAAACCTCTGCCTTCTCAAACTGTATCAGTTTAGGCTTAGAAAAATTAATCTACCACAAGAATAAATGGATGCGTTCAAGTTAGTAAAATTAACATACTTGGATTTAATTTTTTACTGTAGGCCTGGAACGGTAGAACTGTGGATATACTGTAGGCTAAGATGGTGTAAGAATTAAACAGTTTCTCTACAGTGGGTTATTTTTTAAGCAGCCGTAATGCAGTTTCATTATCTGAGCAGCATGAGCTGCTGACTGGAATGGATGTTTTTAAGAATTTAAGTCCCTTTTCTGAAAGAAATTGGTCCCAAGCTTTGCTCCCTGCTTTCAACTTTGAACACGGTATCTGCTAAGGCTAAGAAGATAAGTTTGATTATGTAACAGTTGGGTTTAGAAATGTATGGTACAAACTGTTAAACATTGATTCCCAAATTTAAGTTGCACAAGACAGTTAAGATTAGAATTCTCCTGTGTACAATACAAGCAGAGGTACATTTAATGGGTCTCTCTTACATGTGAAGACATATGGATATAAAATGTATTTCAGTCATCTTGTTTGGCTTGAGTATTCTCCCAGAATGTAAGTTCTTACCTCAGCATGTATTGTAGTTGCTCAGTATTTGTATATGTTGCTAGAACTTAGACTGTATAAATAGTGAGGGGTTTTTATATGTATGTTAAAAAGTATTTTAAATAAATTGTACATATGTATTAGTATGTTTGCATTTAACAACTACCTTATATCTATCTATATCATCTAATTCATTTGTAATTTGGACATGCAAGGGTTATTTATGAGTGACCATACTACAGCAGGGGTTATACCCTGCCTCCCAAGAGTGACACTTCTAGGTCTCACCAAGCATTAGAAGTAGTGAACTGACACTTACCAGAGCTCTCCTCATGGCTGGAGTCTGCTGCAGGGACAAGTGGTATTTACAGGAGGGAGCTTCCTGGCATTACCTGCTGCTGGCAGAGGCAGAGTGCTGGCTCTGGAGTCCTGTGTGATGAGAGGCTAAGGCTGCTCTCTGTTAGTGCAATTAGAAAGTCAGGCTCTGGTCCAGTATAACCCATTGCTTAGATGCAGAGACACACCACATACATACCACCCCACCCCTCCACTCCCAGTCAGCACACCACGTCTATGCTGGTAGAGGGGCTGCTAGTTTATTCTTCAACTAGAACATGGGTATTTTTCAATTACTGGAAAAAAAAAAAAAAAAAAGCTGCTTTTGCTTTCAAAGCTTTCCCCTTTATCTTAATTCTAGCACTGCAGTTCCTAAAATAAGGAAATAATAATTACTCTTCTTTTACAAGTACAAGGTTAAAATTGGATCCTAAAAGGCTTAGTCCTGTGCTTGTCAAACTGAAACATCCTTGGAACATTACAAGCAGTCTTGCCTTCAGAAAAGGAATGCCAGCATGCCTGCAAGTATCCCTGCTTAAGTTGACCAGGGTCCTAGAGGAACTGTTCTCAAGTGGGACAGACATCTGCGTGAGGCAGAACACTTGCTGTTTCCTTATCTGTCTCTGCATCTTGCTAAACATACATTCCGTGTGAAACGCAACTTACCTGAAACGCAGCTGCTACTTCAGCTGGGGCTATCTCAGCTTCATGTTTAAGGCTTTCCACAACTTGGGTGATGGAGGGAGGAAAAAAAAATTGAAGCAAAATGTTATCTAGATTTCTGAAAACGTTTCAGGAGCAGAAGAGACCCTACTTTTGCACACCTTAGTGTGCACAGAAGTCTCTCTACATACTATTTTTTATTAGTTCCCCACAAACGCTGTGAAAGACCATGAGAAGTTCTTAAGTTAAAAGGCCAAGTATTCTGCTCACTACACAAATAAATAGCCCATTATTTCTAGGAAGAAAAGTTCCTGAAAAAATAAAGCTTTTCATCTAAATGAATGAAATTTGTCCTTCATCCCTAAGAATGTTTAACATCCCTAAGAATGTTTTTTGTTTTATACTGATGAAAACAGAACATACTTACTTAGGCTTGCAGTAAAGTCTCTTCTCCTCCTGTAGTGGGAGTTCACAGATGTCTCGCTACAAGCTGGAAGAAACTCCTGACACTCTACTAGACACCTCAGCATTAAAACTTCAAAGAAATACACATACTTAAAATGGGCAATGCTGACCTGCAAGGAGGCTAGTACTAATGAATCTACCTGTATGTGATAGTCCAGTGAAAGTCAGCTTTGGAAATTGTCTGTTCAAACTTAAAACAATTACTGATAATGTAATCAAGTATACCATGGTTCAACTTCAAGAGATGCACAACTGTCACTTTTATGAAACCACGTCATCAGTAACCAGTCTGATCTAAAAAAGGCATACAATGCCTGAAATTGGTGTCAGTTTTCAGCATAGCCAGAAGTTTCTACCAACAGCTGTCTCTGCTGCCTTGAAAGAGGAAAAGAAATGCTCTTTTTTTTTTGTACATGTAATAACAGTACTGCACATGGAAGTTGGAAGAAAGACTCCTACCTACATTCACATTAAATGGCAGAAGACAGGCTAGAACAACAAACGTACTGTTTGCATGCTGAACTTACCTAGAGTGACTACACAAACAACTCTGTGGTCAAATTACTGTAGAATCACAGTCTACCTAAAAACAAACTCCAAATTAAATAAATGCCTTTTAGCTTTTTTTACCTTTTTATGTGGCTTTTTGACAGAGTCCAAAACAGTCAGGATACAACTGAAGGGGAAGGTGAAAGGCTACAAGTCAGGTTTCACACCAACACAATGCCACGATACATAAAAATTACTTAGAGACTATTATAAAGTCTTAACATTATTTTCTAAGGGCCTGCAGTTCACTTGCCTTACTCCTGAACATGCTGCAGGTTCACAAGATTTTAGCTCTCCAAAACCTGCTTTTGGCAACAACGGGCTGAGTGCCAGAATCCATTCTGCTCAGGAAGGCTCCTTCACATTGGACTAAGTCCTTCTGAAACAAAGGCAAAAAACCGTTGAATTTTACTGGCAAAAAAGAAACCATGCTTTATGTATCAAACATCTGATGCAGATCTAAGACAGCTGATACAAAGGCATGAATAATTAATTAAAATAATCCTTCAGAAGTCACAGAAATAGGTCTATCTCAAGCCATTCTATAGGTATA